ATCAACTTGTTGGTATTTTAGACAATTTTTAACATTGCTTCCAGGGATTGAACCAGCTGTTTTTATCGTTGACAGAAGAAAGTCAGTGAAGTAATCTACCGTCGCTTCAGATTGTGTTACTGTGGAAATCAGCGCCACGTGTGTGACTATTATTGTGGGAGCGGCGCTTCTGCACATGCTCGCCACCTTCTTTAATGAGACCTTAGCCAGCTGTTTCACTGTCTCATTAATACTCCACACGGCCAGCTGGTTCTCCGTCCCATTAACACTTCATTCAGCTCACCTCCTGTACTCTAGCACACTACGCCGTGTTGAGATGCGCTCATTAGGCCCAAGACCTATTCTACCACGGATGTGCAAATCTCAAGTCTTCCGTGGATCAGAGTGCATGGGAACCAGACCAGTGTTACCGGCTCCTCTACTGGAGGAACCTGTGTGTTATTGTTTTTGTCCGTAAAGAACAGCAATAAGGCACAACACCGTTACTGCCACAACCCTCGTATGGGAGAAAATTATGACGACGTTTCGGTCCGTCTTGTGATCTGCTGATGGTCCAAGACGGTCCGAAATGTCGTCATGAGTTTCTTTGTGTGGGTTATTTGTGTATTGTTTTGCCTGTCTTGGCTTGATTTCTTTTCAGTTTCACCTTGATTCCTTTTCAGTTTCAGCTTCATTCCTTTTCAGTTTTACCTTGATTCCTTTTCAGTTTCACCTTGATTCCTTTTAAGTTTCAGCTTGATTCCTTTTCAGTTTCACCTTGATTCCTTTTCAGTTTCACCTTGATTCCTTTTCAGTTTCACCTCGATTCCTTTTCAGTTTCACCTTGATTCCTTTTCAGTTTCACCTTGATTCCTTTTCAGTTTCACCTTGATTCCTTTTCAGTTTCACCTTGATTCCTTTTCAGTTTCACCTTGATTCCTTTTCAGTTTCACCTTGATTCCTTTTCAGTTTTACTTTGATTCCTTTTCAGTTTCACCTTGATTCCTTTTAAGTTTCACCTTGATTCCTTTTCAGTTTCAGCTTGATTCCTTTTCAGTTTCACCTTGATTCCTTTTCAGTTTCACCTTGATTCCTTTTCAGTTTCAGCTTGATTCCTTTTCAGTTTCACCTTGATTCCTTCTCAGTTTCACCTTGATTCCTTTTAAGTTTCACCTTGATTCCTTTTCAGTTTCAGCTTGATTCCTTTTCAGTTTCACCTTGATTCCTTTTCAGTTTCACCTTGATTCCTTCTCAGTTTCACCTTGATTCCTTTTCAGTTTCACCTTGATTCCTTTTCAGTTTCAACCTGATTCCTTTTCAGTTTCACCTTGATTCCTTCTCAGTTTCACCTTGATTCCTTTTCAGTTTCACCTTGATTCCTTTTCAGTTTCACCTTGATTCCTTTTCAGTTTCACCTTGATTCCTTTTCAGTTTCAACCTGATTCCTTTTCAGTTTCACCTTGATTCCTTCTCAGTTTCACCTTGATTCCTTTTCAGTTTCACCTTGATTCCTTTTCAGTTTCAACCTGATTCCTTTTCAGTTTCACCTTGATTCCTTTTCAGTTTCAACCTGATTCCTTTTCAGTTTCACCTTGATTCCTTCTCAGTTTCACCTTGATTCCTTTTCAGTTTCACCTTGATTCCTTTTCAGTTTCAACCTGATTCCTTTTCAGTTTCATATTATATTGTAGTATTCTGTATGAACAAAGGTATGTATCTCAGTGTATATACAGCGAGGGATGCGTATCTCTTAGTGTATATACACCGCGAGGTGTATAGTTCTGTATATATACACTGAGAATATACTTTAATCTCTATTTTAGGTATTAAAGTATTCTTGACAGGTGGTGAACAGGTGACATGGAGCCTTAATGACCCTCGTTTAGTCGATAGGCTGTAAACCGAATAAACCAAGCAACCAGCGCCAACAGCGGTGTTTTATTGGTGTTTGTTGATTTAAAACAGCTGCAGAAAGACTCGTGTGTTTTTCCACGGTGTTTGTGTATTTACTAATTATTTCTTACTTTTGTTGCATTTTAAGGAATTTTTGGCTAAGAAAACAATCAATATTTTGTTACTTTTTTGTAGATTTGTGTTAATTTTGTTATTCTGGATTTGTGTAAAGTTATTTTTTTATATTTTTAGTGATATTATATGCCCAATTCGTGTAAATTTGAGGGTTACTAGAATTGTATTAATTAAATTTTGTTCGATTTCTGTTCATGACTTGTCTCTGGTCTGTTAAATTGTATTGTGAGTGGAATTGTGTTATGATATTTTGCATGATTTTTCAAGTAACGGGATTTGCAGATAATTTTACAATATTTGTAAGCTGCGTTAGTTATCAGGTTTGATCCGAGGATGCAGCCTCACTTGATGGGCCTAGGATTAATCTGAGGGAGCATCCTTTCATCCCGTCTTTCTATGGAGAACACTGGAGTTAGGACTGACAGAAGGATAACTTAAGTCACACCACATTCTAAGAGTCTTCCTCCATCTTTCTTTCCTCCTTTTCTCCCCATCTTTTCTTCCTCCCATTCTCCCCTTCCTTCCTCCCATTCTCCTCTTCCTCCCATTCTCCTTTTCCTCCCATTCTCCTCTTCCTCCCATTCTCCTCTTCCTCCCATTCTCCTCTTCCTCCCTTTCTCCTCTTCCTCCCATTCTCCCCATCCTTCCTTGAAGGATCGAGAAGCTAAAATTTTTGAAAGATTCTAGATTATGGTGGCATATTATGAAGTGTGTTATGGTGTTAGTATGTACATGTTATGGTGTTAGTGTGTAGTGTGTTAGTATATAGTGTGTTAGTATATAGTGTGCTAGCGTGCATTGTGTTAGTGTGTAGTGTGTTAGCGTGTAGTGTGTCAGTCAGCGTGTTAGTGGGTGTGATTAGCGAATGTGTTAGACTTAATAAGTGTATTGCTGTGAGTGTTAGTGAGTGTATTAGTGTACTAGCGTCATATTAATAAACAGAAGTTACCTAGTTTGATAGAGAGAGATAGTCCCATGATATTGACAAAACACAGGTGTTTCAGATCTAGGTGAGGACACTTGCTTCAGGTACTGAAAGTGTTCATGCATCGCGGTTAATTTTTTTATTCCACACAGGTGGAATGTGTGCAGGTGGGGCACTGCCCGGACGATCTACATGCCCAGATGTTGAAAGTGAGTGATACATGCCCATATGTTGCAGTGAGTGATACATGACAGGTGTTGCAGTGATACATGCCCATATGTTGCAGTGAGTGATACATGTCCAGGTGTTGCAGTGAGTGATACATGCCCATATGTTGCAGTGAGTGATACATGACAGGTGTTGCAGTGATACATGCCCAGGTGTTGCAGTGATACATGCCCAGGTGTTGCAGTGAGTGATACATGCCAGGTGTTGCAGTGATACATGCCCAGGTGTTGCAGTGATACATGCCCAGGTGTTGCAGTGAGTGATACATGCCAGGTGTTGCAGTGATACATGCCCAGGTGTTGCAGTGAGTGATACATGCCAGGTGTTGCAGTGATACATGCCCAGGTGTTGCAGTGAGTGATACATGCCCAAGTGTAGCAGTGATACATGCCCAGGTGTTGCAGTGATACATGCATAGGTGTTGCAGTGAGTGATACATGCATAGGTGTTGCAGTGAGTGATACATGCCCAGGTGTTGCAGTGAGTGACACATGCCCAAGTGTAGCAGTGATACATGCCCAGGTGTTGCAGTGAGTGATACATGCCCAGGTGTTGCAGTGAGTGATACATGCCCAGGTGTTGCAGTGAGTGATACATGCCCAGGTGTTGCAGTGAGTGATACATGCCCAGGTGTTGCAGTGAGTGATACATGCCCAGGTGTTGCAGTGAGTGATACATGCCCAAGTGTAGCAGTGATACATGCCCAGGTGTTGCAGTGAGTGATACATGCCCAGGTGTAGCAGTGATACATGCCCAGGTGTTGCAGTGAGTGATACATGCCCAGGTGTTGCAGTGAGTGATACATGCCCAGGTGTTGCAGTGAGTGATACATGCCCAAGTGTAGCAGTGATACATGCCCAGGTGTTGCAGTGAGTGATACATGCCCAAGTGTAGCAGTGATACATGCCCAGGTGTTGCATGATGATACATGCCCAAGTGTAGCAGTGATACATGCCCAGGTGTTGCAGTGAGTGATACATGCCCAGGTGTTGCAGTGAGTGATACATGCCCAGGTTTGCAGTGAGGGGATACATGCCAGGGTGCAGTGAGTGATACATCCCCAGGTGTTGCAGTGAGTGATACATGCCCAGGTGTTGCATTGAGTGATACATGCCAGGTGTTGCAGTGAGTGATACATCCCCAGGTGTTGCAGTGAGTGATACATGCCCAGGTGTTGCATTGAGTGAAAACAGCCCAGGTGTTGCATGGAGTGATACATGCCCAGGTGTTGCAGTGAGTGATACATGCCCAGGTGTTGCAGTGAGTGATACATGCCCAGGTGTTGCAGTGAGTGATATGCCCAGGTGTTGTCAGTGAGTGATACATGCCCAGGTGTTGCAGTGAGTGATACATGCCCAGGTGTTGCAGTGAGTGATACATGCCCAGGTGTTGCAGTGAGTGATACATGCCCAGGTGTTGCTTTGAGTGATACATCCCCAGGTGTTCCCAGTGAGTGATTCATGCCCAGGTGTTGCAGTGAGTGATACATGCCCAGGTGTTGCAGTGAGTGATACATGCCCAAGTGTAGCAGTGATACATGCCCAGGTGTTGCAGTGAGTGATACATGCCCAGGTGTTGCAGTGAGTGATATATGCCCAGGTGTTGCAGTGAGTGATACATGCCCAGGTGTTGAAGACGGCGTGTCTAGCAAATGTTTCAGCCTCGCGAGGGAGGTGTTTTGAGTGGGTGGTGGTGGTTGGCGGGCTGGAGGGCGGGGGTGGTGGTGGTGGTGGGAGGGGGTATGGTAGTGGTGGTAATGGTGGTGGTGGTGGTGGTGGTGGTGGTGGTGGTGGTGGTTCCCTCTGGCTTGCCTCACTCTAGTCTCAAGCTACCGATTAGTATCTCCCACCTCGCAGTTCCCAGTGTGCTTTCTGCCGCGGCTCCCGCCTCTCGCACGCCCTCACACACGCCCTCACATGCGTCCTCTCACGCCCTCACACGCCCACTCACGCCACGCCTAAATACCTCCGCTAATTTTGCAAAACTAATAGTGCAAAGGTGGAGAAAAGGAGAATTTTTAAATATGTGCTGGAGAAAAATGTTCTCCGTTGGCAGATGGTGTTGAAAATTATTGATAAACATGTGTGTGCATGTGATGAACGCAGGTGATTGGCTGAGGCCCCGGCCAATAGCTCATGGGCTCAACCAATGACAAGACTGTATTGGCCTCTCACTTCTTCGGCGGGAAACAAGAAGTCACAACACCATAGGCATCATGGCGACCCAAGTGGCTAGGTGGAGCTCAGCCCAGATCAGGTAGAGACGATCCGCAGCTGCACAGAGGTCGATCATGAGCCTTTCAGAGGAAAACAAGTCTGAACCGGACTTGTAGAGCTCTACCAGCTCAGTCAGGTAGCAAGAGGCTGACAAGAAGGGTCCAGCTTCAAAACTGACCGCTCTCAACCTTGCTTGCCCAAGAAGATCTCGAACTGACTTTCCCGTTTCCAGGCTGCATTAAAACAGCATTTAGGTGAACTTCTGAAAAACACTGAAGGGACTTCAGGCTGTTTGAGGATATGTATCTCCTGGAATCTGCCCTCATAAGAAGATAATCGCTAGAAAACACAGAGCATTTAGTCTAGTCTACGTAACTACGGAAGCAAAAATTGTTCTGCGGATAAGAAGAATCTCACGTAGAGGTGTGTCGCTGCTGCTGCTAGTAGCCGCCACAACCAGGGGTTCTCCACACCTAAGGAGACTATGGCCACCAAGTTCCTTCTTCGGTGCCTACTACTGAATCTCTTCCTCTGTGACTTCGTAGACGCCCTCTGGTGGTGAGTACAAACATAGTAAGTTTAAGGACCGAGTACTAACAAAGCATCCTGGGTTAAGCCACCATTTGCTGAAGAGGATTTGGCCGTGACAACGTTTTGCTCTGGTTAAAGATTTATCACAAGTAGCTATACACACAGCGAAACGTTATCCAAATAAAAGCTTTCTTAAAGTAAACCAAACCATACCCCCGGCCGGGATTGAACCCGCGGTCAGAGAGTCTCAAAACTCCAGCCCGTCGCGTTAGCCACTAAACCAGCTAGCCACAATAAGATTCATCCAACTAGGTATATTTATACACCATAGGAAGGTTAGCACAGGCACCACTGTGACCACAAATGCAAGTTGGATGAATCTTATGGGTATGGTTTGTTTGCAATCGTGTCATTACGATTTCTTGAGTCTTTCTTGAAGTGTAAAAGTGTTAAAAAAAAAGACACGGGAAAACAAAGCCTTTAGCACAACGTTTCCTTACTTGAAGCTTTACCAAGTACTTGATAAAGTTTTATGCAGGAGAAACGTCGTACTTATAAAGATCCCCTTTTGCTCTATATATCTTAGTAAAACCTTGTTCTAAGCATGTAACTCTATTTACGATTACGTTTGGTCTGTACCGTTCAAAGACCTACCTGATAGGTCTATGAGAGGTACAAACTATCAAGTCTGTACCTCTCATAGACCTACTTCAGAAATGGTCTGCACCTTTCAAAGACCTGGAGTGTAAAAGTCATGGCTGTATCATCCTGGAGTGTAAAAGTCATGGCTGTATCATCCTGGAGTGTAAAAGTCATGGCTGTATCATCCTGGAGTGTAAACAGTCATGGTTGTATCCTGGAGTGTAAACAGACATGGTTATATCATCCTGGAGTGTAAATAGTCATGGTTGTATAATTCTAGAGTGTAAACAGTTCTGGCTGTATCATCCTGGAGTATAAACTTCCAAGGTACAGATTTACACCTCCCAGTTGTGGTGTTCACCGAGTATGTCACTTATATTCAGTGTACATCACACCACCACACGTTTTGCCTTCCCTCCATAATCAGCCAAAAGTCCGGTATTTATAGCCGTTATAGGTGTCGGGACTCCGCTCTTATACCGAGGATAAACCGCTAAAAATATCAACCGATAAGGGTGAGGGGAGGTTGAATTGGAGGATTGGTAACTTCATGCCTGGTATGAACCTTTGTAATAGATACCGACAGATTGGCTTAGAAAGGCACATGAACAAACACTAGGACATATTTGAAAACGTTTCAGTTCTGGGACTTTGATCAGAGTCCCAGGACCGAAACATTTCCTAATATGTCCTAGTGTTTGCTCACGTCAGTCCCTCACTAGCTATGGCTGATCGACACATGCTGAATCCTCTCTGTATGATCTTACGAGCCACTGACACTGACCATACTCCTTCTAACTTTCTATTATTACGTTACTACAAGTGTACTCTCAGTAAATGTACACATTTTGTATCTAATATTTCTGGTGGGAATATACGGGCACTCAGACAACCATTTTTGGTGTGTAGATAAATGGTTCAAAGAACCATTTATCTACACACCAACACTTGGGTATCTTTATTTTGGAAACGTTTCGCCAACCAGTGGCTTCCCCAGTCCAGTACTGAGGAAAATAATTGGAAGTCGGAAGGAGTTTGAGGTAATCAGTCCCTCAAGCTGGGGTCGATGTGATCAATCTTGATAAAAGACTGTGCCTTTAACATTCCTTAATTGCTCGTTCACTGCTAATCTCACAGCCAGGTACCACAGGTCTTCTAATTGTACCTGTGTTAGTTGTACCTGTCAACGTTGAGACAAGACACAGGTGGCGGCCCTGTGTCTTCCAAGTGTGAGGAGGGAGGGGGGGGGGGAGGGATGTAGAAATGAAAAAAAATCACACACCATGGCTGTATTCGACTGAAGAAGCCTGTTGTGCGGGCGAAACGTCTCGGCCCTAAACATTGCCAAGAGTTGCACATGTGTCTTATTTATCATCTTGTACATGTGTCTTATTCATCATCTTGTATGCTGTTGTATTTTGACATCATCGATGGAAACATTAAACAAACACTTGAGGCGACGTTTCGGTCTATTCTGGACCAATATCGAGAAACAGCCCAGTTGTGACTTGATAATAGTCCAGAGGGGGACCGAAACGTGATTTGGTAAAGGTCCAGGACTGACCGAAACGTGGCTTAATAATGGTCCAGGAGGAACCGAAACGTGGCATGGTAATGGTCCAAAAGGAACCGAAATGTGGCTTGGTAATGGTCCAGGAGGAACCGAAACGTGGGTTGAGTTGGAGCTACTCACCCATTCCTTAGATCAAACCTGATTGCTTCCCCATTCCCAGGCGCTGTACGACCCTTGTATACTACTATTTCCCTAGGTATGATGGGTGTCCCCTAGTTAGTGATACTGGGTGCTGGGTGTCCCTTAGTATTACTGAGTGTGATAATGGGTGCTGGGCGTCCCCTAGTTAGTGATGCTGAGTGCTGGGTGTCCCCTAGTTAGTATTACTGAGTGTGATAATGGGTGCTGGGCGTCCCCTAGTTAGTGATGCTGAGTGTCCCCTAGTTAGTGATGCTGAGTGTCCCCTAGTTAGTGATGCTGAGTGTCCCCTAGTTAGTGATGCTGAGTGTCCCCTAGTTAGTGATGCTGAGTGTCCCCTAGTTAGTGATGCTGAGTGTCCCCTAGTTAGTGATGCTGAGTGTCTCCTAGTTAGTGATGCTGAGGGTCCCCTAGTTAGTGATGCTGAGGGTCCCCTAGTTAGTGATGCTGAAGGTCCCCTAGTTAGTGATGCTAAGTGTCCCCTATTTAGTGATGCTGAGTGTCTCCTAGTTAGTGATGTTGAGGGTCCCCTAGTTAGTGATGATGGGTGCTGGGTGTCCCCTGGTTAGTGATGCTGGGTGTCTCTTAGTGGTGCTGGGTGTCCCCTAGTTAGTGATGCTGGGTGTCCCCTAGTTAGTGATGCTAGTTACTGGGTATCCCCTAGTTAGTGATACTGATAGCTGGTTCTCCTCTAGTTGATGATTCTAGGTATCACCTAGTTAGTGGTGCTACGTATTAGGTGTCCCCTAGTTAGTGGTGCTGGGTGTCCCTTAGTTAGTGATGCTGGGTGACCCTAATTACTGATGCTAGATGTTGGGTGTCCCCTAGTTAGTGATGCTGGGTGTCCCCCAGTTAGTGATGCTGGGTGTCCCCCACTTAGTGATGCTGGGTGTCTCCTAGTTAGTGATGCTGGGTGTCTCCTAGTTAGTGATGCTGGGTGTCCCCCAGTTAGTGATGCTGGGTGTCCCCCAGTTAGTGATGCTGGGTGTCTCCTAGTTAGTGATGCTGGGTGTCCCCCAGTTAGTGATGCTGGGTGTCCCCCAGTTAGTGATGCTGGGTGTCTCCTAGTTAGTGATGCTGGGTGTCCCCCAGTTAGTGATGCTGGGTGTCCCCCAGTTAGTGATGCTGGGTGTCTCCTAGTTAGTGATGCTGGGTGCTAGGATGTTACTACAGTACTTTCCTCAATATTCCTCCGGAATTCACTGGCTCTTCACTGCTCTCTCAAGAGCCAAGTGATGCTGTCTAAAAAACTGTATGCCCCGTCTCTGCCTTGCATCCATGATGTAGCCCAGCCATGGGCGAAATTTTCCATTTAAAGGCTCCTCGATGTTTTTATCCCCATCTGAGGGTGCGTTGGTGCCCTCGTGTACTCGACACCATTCACTGCTTGAGGCAGTTACGAATAAATTCACTTAAAATGAGCACTGCTCCCAAAATTTATAAATGAACTCTCAGTAAATATTATTATTATTATTATTATTATTATTTATTATTATTATTATTATTATTAATAGTATTAATAATGGCAATACTACTTCTGCTACCAACACCACTGTTACTACTTCTACTACTATTAATACTACTACTAGTATTACTACTAATACTACTGCTGCTAATAATAATAGTAGTAATAATAATAATATTAGTAATAATAATACTAATACTAATAATAATAATAACAATACTACTACTACTACTACTACTAATAATAATAATAATTGTAATACTGGCACGATTATTATTTATAATAATAATAATAATAAAAGTTGTGAGAGGTCACGACGGTGTCACTGCTAAACAATTAAAGTAAAGGGGACGCGTCTTTATTTTACATCTATGGGCTCGTAACTTGTAATAAATTTCTTCCTTCCTCGGCAGCAACCTCGAAACTCGAGACTTTGTTTTTTCTCTAATAGAGATATCTGGAGAGTCTCCCTCTGATAGAGAAAACTCGAGACTCTCTCTCTAATAGAGATAATGGAGTCGGGGGAATATGAGTTGAGCAAGTTGTTTTGCCAGAGATTTTAAAACAGTATCGTCTTACGTACGAAGCCCCTGACCACGCCCTTCTCTCTCTCTCTCTCTCTCTCTCTCTCTCTCTCTCTCTCTCTCTCTCTCTCTCTCTCTCTCTCTCTCTCTCTCTCTCTAATACACACACATCTAGGGACCGGGCGGTGCCAGGAGCAGAGACTCGACCCATGCAACTACAAATAAGTGAGTACCTAGGACCTATGGGTAAGCATAATACCCAACACATCACATGAGAAGCACATCAACCACATAACCTCTGCCACATACGTGCATTTATTCAAAGATTAATTTTCCTTAACTTCAACACGGAATCCTTCCAGATCCTATTTACGACATATGTCAGGACCATCTTAGAGTATGCAGCACCGGCATGAAACCCACACCTGATAAAGCTTGTTAAGAAACAGGAAAAGGTGTAGAGTTTTGCAAGAAGATTAGTCCCGGAGCTATAGGGACAGGCCAAAGAAGGTAAACATGATGTTATTAAATGACAAAAGGACCACAGTAGTCATGATAACGACGTGGAAAATACTCAGAGGAATTAGTAGAGTGAAAAGGGATGAAAATGTTCGAGATGCGGGAAATAAGTGCAAGAGGGGCTTTGTTGCCCACCAAAAGCTTTATCATGGGAAATATAGCATGG